AGAGCAAAACTCAGCAATAACAGCAAATTCCACTAATTAAACTTACTTCTGGCCCCTAAGCAAACTTGTCTGGCACCCGAACAAGCACATAGAGAGCATACACCTGCAGTCGAAAGACCCCTCCTGTCAACTACTACAGGCAAAAACGAAAAACAGCCTTCCGAAAGAACCTTCACATTTCTTGTGGAGTTGGTCCCATAGACCTCTCCACAACAACAAGTGCTGTGACTAGCAGCAAGACCACAGTAACTAATAATCTTAATAACCAAACTCCCATGGAAATAGAAACAACCACTCAACAAGCATCAACCAACACTAGCTCTTCTAGTGGTTTTTCCCTAATGAATCCCTATCTTACCTCACTGGCAAGTCAAACCCCAAGACTACAACACCCACCACCCTGGCTAAACATATCACTACAGAATAATCAAAAGAATTTGTCGATATTAATATCAAAGACTGGTCTAAACTTACCTTTATCGTTACCTTCCACATCCCAGAGTTCGCCAACAAATTTCTCTTTACTGTGGAATTTTCTTGGTCTGGAAATATACCAAATTTGGTTAAATTTCCAACACAATGGATATGCAAGCACAATGACACAACAAAATCAATCTTATTTGATCTTACTAGTACCAGTACCACAAAAACTATAGCAAATAACAAAAAGAAAACTAGTACTCATTCACTTAAAGGTTATACAACAGGAAGTGCATCAACTGCAGCCTCTAGATTACACAAACTCAACAAGCGATCTACAGCCCAAGTTAATATTCTGGGGCATAATACTACTCACCAAAATACCCAGTTTGGCAGCAACAAAAAATGGCCCAAACCTACACCAATTAATACTGCCACCACCAATACACAAGAACCACAATCACCATCTACTGCTTCACCAATATACACAGCCTCTACTATGGATCTTACAGAAACAACTAAACCATCATATAGCCAAGCTGCATGCAAAAACCTTGACTTACCTACCTTTGAGGTACCCAACAGTACTGCATGGGTTCTGCAGATTGCAAGCAAAATTGCACAAGGTACAAAACAGCCATTTGATCTAAATAACTGGACATATGATACTATAGCTACTTCACTCCAAACCCCAGATAGTATATACCAATTTGTGCAACACAAAATTGGTTCTACCCTACCCAATTCGAGCTACCCCTAGCAATCTATCTCAAGTTCAAGCATCTAGATACAAGATTTTTTACCACATTCTTTAGAAATTCAAAAACTATGCCAGCACATCAGAAAGAATATACAAACTTATATAATACTGCACTAGCCAACTATAAACAAACAACCAACTCACAATTACGTATTAATCATGATACACGTAGAACTATTCATACTATGCTCAAAAGGATGGTTATTGCACAGACCTTGCCAATACAAACTTTATAACTATTAGCCACTTTGCTGTATTCAAACTAATCTACTATGCAAGAGGGTTTCTTCAAATCTCAAATGAAAATGACAACACTCCAAAAGATATC